TTGGATCGCGGAAAGCTAAAATTTGAAAATTTTCATTGCATCAAAGTTTTCTCCGAATATGATATTACTGGTTCCAGTACCTTGATGGCGACTTGTGTCACTCTCACCGACCTCACTGATTGGTCACTGGTCAAAAATTCAGTCAAAACCCCGACCTCAATATTGATGGGACATTGTGAAATTTTGGTCAAGGAAACGGCAGAAAAGCTTATAATTCTTTTAAAAGTTATTCCTTATTATTTCATTCGAAAATATTGAAATTAAACTAATTCATAGTTTGATTTTGAAGTTTAAAAGCTATTAAATTTTGATAGCCAACACGCTTTATAATGGCTGTTGCAAATAAGGTACCCTCATTATTTTAATTAAATGACAACCATGCTTAATTAGCCTTTCTTCATTTTGTTACGCATTCCTGATTTCAGTTACTTAGCGTGATTTAGCGTGATTTACGTAGTTGGCACTAATTACCGCGTTGAGCATACATTTCATTATTTCATCACGGTAACATTACATACACTACAAGATAGCAAGCAAGGTCCATTACGAAGGCAAGTAACATTTGTGACACTTTATTCGCTTTCAACTGCAAATCTTCGTATTGTTGTGTTTTGTCAGAACAAGTCCCTTACTTTTTTAAATAGAGCTGTTAGTTGCGAGACTTGTAGTTTTTACTTGAATTATACATGCATTGATTAATGGTTCAGTGCCAATTCACCAGTGCATTACAAACCTCATTCTTCCTTAACTCTGCTGGAAGATAATATATGAGCCATTGTATTAATATTGATTAGATGCAGTGGCGGGGCCCTATTGTACTTTTAGCAGCAGGATGGTACCACATTTTATAGTTTTTAACAGCAATGCTGATACCCAATACAATTAGAGGTGGGTTCCATCGAAAAGGCGTTAATGACCGGGATGTGGACATCATGGTAATGATTTGGATATTTTGATATGGTCAGTGATAATTAAGGTATAATTTGACCTAATTAAGTTATAACAGCTAGGTAACTAGGTAACGGTACACTGGTGACTAGACACTAGGAACTACAATACCTTCCTTGAGTGACGTGGACTAACGGAAGTGAAATTCAGTATTGATCTTGTGCGCCACGTTTGTTAGCTAGAATATGGATCTCTTCGGTGTGTTTCTCGCTTTTATAGCCATCACAGCTCTGGATGTTGAAGCAGGTATTTACTAGAAATTTCAAAGCCTGAAGTACATAAAGATATTTCTTTTGTCAGAATATTTGTTTTTACTTTCTCTACTACATGCCATGTGTGTGAGCGCTTGTGAGCGCTTGTGAGGCTTGTGATCTTATTGTAACAACCTCCTACTTCCAGGTCGAGCGTTGATGTCTGATATTAGCGGTTACCGTAAGTTCCTTAACGTTTCCTTAATTGTTAATGAGTAAAACTGACTGTTTTAAACTCTCAGTGACAGGATATTTGTATTAATTCTGTTAAGAGAGCATGCCCCAGTTACATTATTTCTCTGGATAATCTCGATATCACATATTTGGAGTATTTTTATTGACGATCATGATATTTAGCATATTTCAGCCTCATTCCAAGACACACCAGACGAGATCTCAATTGGTATACTTGGCAGTCAACTTACCAAGGAACTAGCAGATAACAATTTTGGAAAGGAAGCTTTAAAAGTGGTTGTTGACAAGGTTGGTAACCTGTTCGCTTTTCTGAGAGTTTTACTTTTCAGTTGAGAAACACAGAACTGAGAATAAAGAATAAACTATGAATGTTAATTAATGGTTTTGTTCACAAATAACATAGTGATTAGTGAATAGTGACATAATGTGCTAATGTGTAGTGATGAATCTTTCCCAGGTATTTTATAAAGCTGACTTAGATGCAGATAATTTGCTGGATAGAAGAGAGCTTGCACTCTGGCTCCACCAGAATGAACTGGAAAATAAGGCTGCAGAGATTAAAGCAGATTTCTGGGTAAGTTACAGTGTTTTTTTTTTAGTACTGTTTGTTGTTTGTTTGTTTATAGAACCCATCCCCAATCTCGTATCGGAAAATGACTAAACTCAGGTCTGAGTGTGAATACGGGTGGTACCTGCAAGTACTAGTACATTTATAATCTAACAGGACGTTAGCGTACGAAATGAGCGCCAGAACAATTGACAGTGTATACTGAGGGAATTATTCATATGAAAGTCAGGGGCAGTCTTTAAATTCCAGCTCGAGTTTCTTGTCACCTACCTATTATATTATGTCACCTATGTTGTATTTGCAAACTGTAAACTTATCAAGAAAATGTAAACTAATCATGGTGCACTGTTGTTATAAATTACCCAGCTGAAACAAAGTTCAATTTCTGTCGGTGCTAGCTGGCTTAAATAGGGGGGGGGGGGGGGGGGGGGGGGGGGGGTCATGAGTATTTTTGAGAGTCCCGACGAAAATGCCAAATTCTCATTATTTTTGAGAAATGTTTCCAGGAGAGGCGAAAAACTCATTCTCAAAAATTGATTTTGAGTATTTTTGGACCACATTGCACTGATATGATACAAGAAAACATGAAGAATAATTTAGTATATCAATATTTTTGAGTGGACAATTTTTGAGAAAATGAGAAATCCATGCTGAATTTCTCAGATTAAAAAATAATTTTTGAGACATTATTGAGTATTCCCGGCGAAAATGGTCAAATTCTCAGATTCAAAAACTCTCAAAAATTCTCAAAAATACTCCACATTCACTATTTAATGTTCATAACAACTTCAGGACTGGGATGAGAACCAAGACTCTCAGATGACGTTCCAAGAGTTTGGGCTCTACGGAGGACTGGATGATATCTCCGCCATGGACTTTAAGAAAGAGTTCTTACTGGAGGACAACAAACTGAACTATCCTCTGTTGGAGCATGACCACCCTGTTTTGGAAGAGAATGGTTCTCCTAGCTTGGCTGGAATTATTAGCAGACTTTACAAAATATTCAAAGTGGTTGATGTTAATGAGGTTAGTTTACATTTACATAATAATGTTTTAATATTTTAAATAATGATTCAGTAGCTTTTAAAATAACATGTCTTAATCGTCTCTAGCTGGGAATAATGGTTAGTTTGCTCCAAACATAATCTCTAAACCCATATCTATCAACAATTTTATGTTTCATTAGTAAAATATTGATAAGGCTGAACTATGTTGTCAATGATGAATTCTAGCCAGTGAATTCCATTCCTCCAAGATAACAGGTTTAAATGTTATTTTTCCCCCAGGACGGGTCTCTGAGTTGGGAAGAGTTTGTGGTATTCTCGTATCCAGAGGACTTTGAAGAGGTTCACCAGCTGGCTTCAGGCGAGAGATTCCGTAAGCTGGACGAGGACCACGACAACAGATACAACATCAACGAGTTCAGGAAGTACTACAACAAACACGTGACCATTAATGAACTGCTCCCTCTAGAATATAGGACAGCTGATGTGAGTTGATACTTTGAGGATCTTTTATTTTGATTTATCTTCGTTAATTACTAAAGAATATTTGTTAAACTTCAGAACGATGGTCGTCAATAAATTTACATGTAAGTCCTGATCACTCAAACTTCGACGAGACCTTAAATATAATCTTTACTCAGCGTATGTTCAACGCTTGTGATAAGAATAGGGATGGCTTCTTGTCCTACGAAGAGAGCGACGAGTGTTTTAAAGGACACATCGCCATCGATCACCGTGAATCTGGTACGTATATGGTAGGGACTCTGAAACATTTGTGATACTAATAATTTAGGACCCAGCAATTAGGGGGCCACTGTAGAACCATATGTGTATACTCTTCAGTGACAGAACAAAGCACTGGTACCAAGTTAGAATTAGTAAGTAGGATTCCCTACCAACGCGTGATAGAATTAGTAAGTAGGAGTCCCTAACAACGCGTGTTAGAATTAGTAAGTAGGAGTCCCTAACAACGCGTGTTAGAATTAGTAAGTAGGAGAACCTAACAACGCGTGTTAGAATTACTGAATTAGTAAGTAGGAGTACCTAACAACGCGTGTTAGAATTAGTAAGTAGGAGAACCTAACAACGCGTGTTAGAATTAGTAAGTAGGAGAACCTAACAACGCGTGTTAGAATTAGTAAGTAGGAGTACCTAACAACGCGTGTTAGAATTAGTAAGTAGGAGTCCCTAACAACGCGTGTTAGGATTAGTAAGTAGGAGTACCTAACAACGCGTGATAGAATTAGTAAGTAGGAGTACCTAACAACGCGTGTTAGAATTAGTAAGTAGGAGTACCTAACAACGCGTGTTAGAATTAGTAAGTAGGAGTACCTAACAACGCGTGTTAGAATTAGTAAGTAGGAGTACCTAACAACGCGTGTTAGAATTAGTAAGTAGGAGTACCTAACAACGCGTGTTAGAATTAGTAAGTAGGAGTACCTAACAACGCGTGTTAGAATTAGTAAGTAGGAGTACCTAACAACGCGTGTTCCTCAGTTTGGCTGATAGAGGACGGTGACAAGGATGGAGATGAGAAATTAAGTAGAGAGGAGATTGTAGAGGAGTTTGATACTATAACTGAAGATGACGACTACTTCCACGACAGAGACGAGCTCTAGAATGGGTCAAATTTATATCTGGAAGATCATATTCTGTAGTCATTCTTAGAGACGAGCTCTAGAATGGGTCACATTTATATCTGGGAGATCATATTCTGTAGTCATTCTTAGAGACTAGATCTAGAATTAAGAATGGGTCACATTTATATCTGGGAGATCATATTCTGTATTCATTCTTAGAGACGAGCTCTAGAATGGGTCACATTTATATCTGGGAGATCATGTTCTGTAGTCATTCTTAGATAAACTAACTAACCATGACCTTGACCTTTATATCGCAGATTTATTTACATCTAGGACACCAACTTATTTTGACCGACCTTGATTTATAAAATTGTTGGGTATTATGGCGTTGTATGATTTAAATTTCTAATAAATATTTGAACTTTATTGTAGTTAGAGATAAAACACAATGTTGATTTCTAAATTCTAAGTCTAAAAATGTACTTTAGAATATAAGGATAAATTGTGAGTCATACTTTAAATAGTTCCAGAAAGAGTTTTCGAACCGGCCAGTATGGCAGTCACTACAGGTAAACACACACAAACACACACACACACACACACACACACACACACACACACACACGCACCATTACTGATCTCTGAGAAAATAAGATTTGATCGTCCGAGAAGTTGAACTCCAGTATATAAATAGGAAGAAGTCTTAGAGACCCTGTATAAGTCATTAAATTAAAACTGGCACTCTCAAAGTAATAAAACAACTCCTTCACAGTTTGTTTAATGTTCTCCGCCTCTTCCACTAGGCAGGGGTGCGTGAGGCTGAGGGAGTGTGAGAAACTGAAGGTAAAACATTGTTTCGTCTCTTAGCCCGGTTCATTCTGAAGGCTCGAGCTGCAGCTATCACCATCCGACGACTCTCTTCGCCTGTGAGTGGAGTAAAATCATGAGGGAGAAGCTAAAGGTGGGGCTGAGAGAATATATTTGTTAGATACGTGTTTTTTAAAGCATATAAAAGGATACTGAGAATGATAACGGTTGAAAGTTGAACTAACCAGGGAGTATTTCGGGGTTAGTAGAGTTCCTGCCACTGCCGAGATTTTGACTGAAGATCTTGGACATAACTGAGTTGTTGTTTCGTTTGTTCATGAACCGCCCCATGACAATGGGTAGGAGCGGGTTGTCTTCAGGACTTTCGTTTAGATCGCAGATTTCTTTACACCAGATGAAGAACAGCACACAAACCCTACTTCGCTGAGCAATCTGGGGGAGAAAAGAGACTATAATAATTACAAGTCTGGTTGCAGTCGCACAGACGACCGATTAACAGTATTATTCAAAACCGAATAAATGCCTGCGCCTAAATGCCTGCGCCTATAATACTCCCTTTGAAGGACTCTAAATTGAGAATTGGGTACCCTCTGGTCCTGGAAGTATAACTTACATCGTAGGAAGGACTCTAAATTGAGAATTGGGTACCCTCTGGTCCTGGAAGAATAACTTACATCGTAGGAAGGACTCTAAATTGAGAATTGGGTACCCTCTGGTCCTGGAAGTATAACTTACATCGTAGGAAGGACTCTAAATTGAAAATTGGGTACCCTCTGGTCCTGGAAGAATAACTTACATCGTAGGAGGTCCATCCTGCCAACAGTTTCTTGACCTCCTCTCTCATCTCAGGAGTTACTCTATCCTTTCTCATTCTCAGTACTCGTTTCCTCACATGCTTTCTTCCCAGCTTACTCAACAAAACCACACACTGAAACGATGCAAGTTAGCATTTGCTGGGTCAAGGATAGTTAGGGTTGACACACGCTGCAACCCCTTTTGATCGGGCGGCCGAGAGGTATACAACGTGTAGCAAAGTTAGGGCACCAAAATAACAAGCTAACTTAGCTGCCAAAAGATATACTAAACTACAAACTAAATTCCTCACCTCCTGCCAGTGATCTAGACGTCTAGGATTCTCACCAAGAATCGTGTACACACACTTTACCACCTGAAAACATTATTTAGATGTCATTATGCTCATAATTTAAACTAATTACAACGCTACAAATCTATTACATTTATCAAGGACGTTACAGTCCTGATCCTCCTAGCGTCCTAAGATAGCGTTTCTCCTGTCTCATATGTACATTAAACATATTATAATTTACAATCCATATTATATATCCAATTTAACATGAAAACAGTTAACAATGAAGGTAAAGATAAGACGAATAAATTAGGATTGAACATATTGAGATGACCTCGCCAGGTTCGTTGAGATAATTTGCTGATCCAGAAAACAAAACGAGTAAAGATTTTTTGAAGTTCATTTAGTTCAAGTTTTTATTGGTATCAAGTTTTTATTGGTATCTGTTTTTATATGGGATCTGTTGAGATCTGTATCAACTATCAGATCAGTGTAAGAAAGGTCTTGTAATAAAAGAAACACTAATAATCCATATAACTCACATCACAAATCTCTTGAGGGGGCATATCATAACTTTTAATCTCAGCGATAGTCTCGTTAACACTAGGACCAGAAGATCGTTTCCTTGTTAAACGAGGCCGAGGATCCTCTACCTCCTTAATTTACTATTTTAGCTCTTACCTTTTACAAAGTTTTAGTTGCTGATTAGAACGCATATTTTGAAGGGTGATAAGCATGAGCAGGACTCTTTAAAAAGCTAAATATAAATTAGAATTGTGCATCCACGCTATACAGTCCACAGGATCGATAGCGTCCTTACAAATTGTTACTTACAGCATGAACGTCGAGTGGTGGTGCATTGTAGGTCTTCATTTCTCCAATACTGGCATTCGTCAGGTTCCTGATTTGATCTAGTATCCTGCAAGAATGTCCGTTTTTAAAATTTAAGATGTCAATCAAAATATAAACAGGCAGGATTAGCTTAACATCTCACCGCACGAAAGTGTGAAATATAACAAATATCTTCATTTATAAACAAACAATAGTAAAATAAACATACTTCAAGAGTCCCGCATCTTTCTCAGAATCGAATCCTTCCTTTTCGTCAGGAGAAGGCGCAGAGTCACTTGAGGGAGGCGATCTTGGTGGCGAAGGTAAGGGTAATAGTCTGTTGTTCATCTGAAAATATCCAGGAATAAGTTTGTTGATAAAAAGGAAATATGTCTAATATCTCCAGCTATCTCTTGACTGATTGTTCAAAGTTGATACTATCATGACATTTAAGTTTGAAATAAAATTCCCAAAATCCATTGTCAGGGTATCAACAAATATAACTCACATTGGTTTTCCCTCCGAGGTAAACACAACAAATATAACTCACATTGGTTTTCCCTCCGAGGTAAACACAGCATATATAACTCACATTGGTTTTCCCTCCGAGGTAAACACTACAAATATAACTCACATTGGTTTTCCCTCCGAGGTAAACACTACAAATATAACTCACATTGGTTTTCCTTCCGAGGTAAACACAACAAATATAACTCACATTGGTTTTCCCTCCGAGGTAAACACAACAAATATAACTCACATTGGTTTTCTCTCCGAGGTAAACACTACAAATATAACTCACATTGGTTTTACCTCCGAGGTAAACACAACAAATATAACTCACATTGGTTTTCCCTCCGAGGTAAACATTACAAATATAACTCACATTGGTTTTCCCTCCGAGGTAAACATTACAAATATAACTCACATTGGTTTTCCCTCCGAGGTAAACACAACAAATATAACTCACATTGGTTTTCCCTCCGAGATAAACACTACAAATATAACTCACATTGGTTTTCCCTCCGAGGTAAACACTACAAATATAACTCACATTGGTTTTCCCTCCGAGGTAAACACTATTGGTTATCTCAGTTTTCCGCACTTCCTGCTCACTCAACTCTTCAATCCGCTTTTTCTGGCTCATTTTGTTGAACTTTCTCTTGTACTTCATGAAATCATGCAATCTGTCCTCGTTTCTAGTTGAGTCCATTTCGTCTTGCGCTAGCTGTAACATTTACCCGAGCTAAAGAACAGTGCAGCTGAAATTTTAATTGAAGAATGTATCCTGTTAGATCAACATCTGATTATTCTTAAATCTAGGTTGTTAGAAATAGAAATAAAGTCCAACCTGAACAGCTATCTGCTTATCAACATGGTGTATTATATAGGGAGACTCTGGGTCAAGCTCTATTTTAACTCTCCTCCGCTGAAGGTACAATTAATTAGTCTCACCTGAATTACAATCACAATTGTTTTTATTTGAAAAGGGATAAAAAGTGCTTTTGAAGATTAAATTTGGGTGCGACTTGGAATAAGTCTCTGTCTCCCAAGCACAGAGGCCAGGAGAATGTGCTTCACGTTCACCAGACACCAGGCCCCGAGATTACCAGGTATCGGTTGGAGCTCTTCGGAGGAATTCTCCATTGGTTCATTCCAGCTTTAAGCTTATTCAAGCTCAAAGGTTTGAGAGAGCCTGCCGAATGCCTGGCAGGAGTTCCTACAGATAGTCGAGAAGGTGAGGGTGAGGGAGGTGGGAGTGGCTGCCAGACTCGAACCTCCCGCTCTAGGCCAGCAGGTGCGGTTTTCTCCCGGTCCATCCTCTCTCGTTTAGCTTCTTCTTCTGTTGGGGTTCTGATTACTGGGGGAGACCGTTTGATGAACAGGGGAGAGGGGGCGGGACTTTTAGATTCTTCTTCCTCTTCTTCGGGGGTTCTGACCACTGTAGGGGTCCGGTTAAAGAACAGGGGGGAGGGAGATGATGCTAACAGGGGGGAGGGAGATGATGTTTTTGACTTTTGTACTTCATCATCGCTCGCAAAATCGTCCGAGTAAGCAGATTCTGCGTAAGCTTGGTATTCGTCATCACTTAAAGCACCGTCAGATGCAGGAGAAGCGATTGCATCTCTTGAGGCGGAAACATAAGAAGAATCGCTAGGTTCCTGTTGTTCGGAAGGACTATTACTAGACATGACAACTGTTGCCTCGCGTGGTGAAGCAGGTGCAGACACCACTACTGTAGATGGTGGAGGAGATGTTCCCTCACTGGGTGATTTCTCTCCAACTGATTTCACACTGGGGGTGGGAGACCTAGCTGATTGAACTGGAGGAAGCGGAGTTAGTTTCCATATTTCAGGAGTGCGAGTGTAGCTGGCACAAGATTCTGAATCAGATTCTGCACCTTCCACAAACTGATCCTGCAAGCAAATAGAATGTGCAATTCCTGACACAAAACTAGTTGTGGCAGTATCATCTCTGTCTGATTCTCTGATAACATATTGTTTTTCAATCGGAGGAACAAGATCCTTCTCAATTGTAATTGGTGAAGGAGTAGGCTCAGTTGGTGAGGGAGTAGGCTCCTTTAGGGGCGAGGGAGTAGGCTCAGCTGGTGCAGGTGTAGGCTCCTTTACAGATGGACTGGGAGATGCAGCATAATATGGAGTCTGTTCCCTCTCAATCGGTATAGGCGTAATTGATTTAGCCGCCTCGACGGTGCTGAGATGAAACACTTCATCAACTAGTTTGACACAGTAACTTTTACCACTACTTCTGGAATAGCTTCTTGAGCTCGCCTGAAAATTCTATGAATAAAGAAACTTTTACTATCATGAATTAGCTAATCCTTACTTACTTAGAAATCTTAGTGATTAAGCTGCGGAAGAATTTAGTAAGAAAGTTTGATGGCGAGAAGTTAAAATTGAATGTGGTTTTTGAATTTCTGAAAATGATAGCACAGACGTGAGACGTGATACATTTCCTGGAATAATTGGTATCGATTCTCAGTAAATAGTTAAAGTTAAAGTACGTTGAATTACTGTTGCTACAAAGTACAAAGGCGTGTGTCGACTATAGTTGCCAACCAATAAACATGTGTGTTAAAAGGTCATATCAGTTGATTCAATAAAAGCATAATATCAGCATAATATCAGCATGCATGATTTACAGAACAGCAGTCAGCTGGACAATTTAATACAACGGCTGAATATCTTGAAAAAAACACAGATGACAACTTATTCATTTTTTGTGAAATTTGGTTGAACAAAATTTATAACATCATGCAATGTGCAACCATCACCAAAGCTAAAACACCGAACACAAAACAAAATTCATGCAAACATCTGAAACCAAAATGTAAAAGTGAATCATGCAACAACATTGTGACGGATAACGCATGCCAATAATCAGCACAGCATGACATGAACAGGAGTCACAGGGATAATTTGCAGCTGCCAGTATTTAAAATAACTGACCAATTGTGCAGTAGTTTCAGTAGGAGTTGGTGCTGGAGTATGAGGAAGATAAGGAGTTGAGGGGTCTCCAGCAGAAGGAGAAGAAGAAGAAGAAGATTCTTCTTTGACAGGCGAGCGGACAGATGAGAGATCAGCAGGCGAGCTCGGATTAGTTTCTTTCTCGGCAGTACTTTGGAAGACCACTCCGTCCATAAGATTAACACAGAAGCTCTTTCCGCTGCTACTAGAAAGACTCCTCTGATTGGGTACTTTGTCTACAGATATGCGAAGCAGGAGTTTATCTACAAACTTGCCACAGAAACTGTCCAAGCTTCTAGAAGAGCTGCTCCGGTGACTTGCTGTAGGTGTACTCAATGTGCTACTCCGGCTGCTGGAACTAGGAGACGGGGCTTGGTCTCCTTCAGTCGGTGAGGGTGATTTCTCCACAGTGATACGAACAAGCATATCGTCTACATACCTGCCACAATAGCTATCCAAGCTCCTGCTGGAATGTTGCCTCGCAGTTTCCACGGGAGTTGGGAGTCTTTCAACAGGAGATGAGTCCTTCTCAGAGGGAGGAGGCGAGACCGATTTTACTTTTTCTACTCTAATACGAATTAACAGATCATCTACTAATTTGTCGCAAAAACCACTGATGTTACTGCTACGAGAGCTGCTGCTAGAGCTGCTGCTAGTGATGCTACGAGAGCTGCTGCAGAAGCTCTGGCTGCTAACAGGTGTGTAGATGGGTCCAAACTCTTCAACAGGGTATTTTTCTGTTGGTACAGGTGAGACAGATTCCTTCTCTACAGAAATGTGAAGCAAAAGATCGTCCACAACTTTACCACAGTAGCTACTAAGGCCACTGCTAGAGCGACTGAAACTTTCTGCGATAGGAGCAACTTCCATCTCATCTGGAGTAAGGGGAGGGGTTTCATCCTTCTCTAAGGAAATGCGAAGTAAAAGTTTGTCCACAAAGTTGTCACAATAAATACTGACACCACTACTAGAGCGACTGACAGCTATTGGAACATGTTCTAACTCATCCGGAGTAAGACAAGGAGTTTTATCTGAGATTGGTTTCTCTTTTTCAACGGTGCTAAGAATAAAAGCTTCGTCCACAATTTTAATGCAGAGATCTTTTCCGCTACTTCTGGAATAGCTCCGTTTCTCAACCTGAAAGTTCTATGAATAAAGAAAGAGACACTGATGATAAAAGCCGTTTTTGTTTCTTCGCAATCATATATTTCTCTATTTTTTGTGGGGTCAGTCGTTTTACCATGAGTTATGGAAACTCAAAAACGGCTGATAGCATGCTAGTTGGCATGAGATTAATGTTGATAAATCTGTAATAAAGCAGATGATTTGAATGTACGGGACATATTAGCTTGTGGTTCAACAGACTCATGCAATATGTAGTGCACATAAGAAGAAATCAAACTTTATTAAAATAAGCTGAAGTCTAGGAAAATATATAGCAACATGCATGATTTGTGATGAAATTTCCACGTGCAGCTTTAACAAGAAAAACATCAAATAAAATTAATGCATACATGCGAGCTCCGCTATTTGTACACCCTTATGAACGAAAAATCACGTACTTCAGTAAAAACAACTATATTTTTTGAAAAAATGCCACTTTTTACGGCTGACAATTAACCGAGTACACGGCAACTCTAGTAGAGCTACAGTAAAGTTACTCTAATGTAACAAGAAGAGTATTCGATTAATATTTCTTATAAACGGGCATGCGATGAAGTAGTTGTAAGGTGGTAACATGCGGTGAGGCACTTCAAATTTACTTTCTCGTATGGGTAATGGCTAATGGGTGATTATTTTGTAAATGTTCAACTGGTTAATCACCAGACATGACGCATGCAAAACAGTACTTCGCAACCAAACAAAGCAAAAATCATGCCAATAACAGCATAACATTTCATGCATGAGCAAAATGCACATAATATAAAATATACTTGCAACGGTGATTCTGGTATATCAATTATCAACGAGGCAGGAGTAGGTTCACTCTCAATTGGAGATGCCGTTGAAGAAACTCGCTTTTCATCTGGATATGGTTCTCTGAGGATTGGTGTTGGCTTTTTTTCAATACTGATACGGAACAAGAGTCCGTCGACAAATGTTTCACAATAGTTACTAAGGCGACTACTACAGCGACTTTGAGCGGCGATAGGAGCAATTTCCATTTCATCTGGGGTAAGTGGAGGTGTTTGTTCTCTTTTTATAGAAGTTGGTGAAACCGATTCTTTCTCTATAGAAATACGGAACAATAGTTTGTCCACAAAGTTTTCACAATAGTTACTAAGGCCACTGCTAGAACGACTTTGAGCGGCGATAGCAGCTATTTCCATTTCATCTGGGGTAAGTGGGGGTGTTTGTTCTCTTTTTATAGAAGTTGGTGAAACCGATTCTTTCTCTATAGAAATACGGAACAATAGTTTGTCCACAAAGTTTTCACAATAGTTACTAAGGCCACTGCTAGAACGACTTTGAGCGGCGATAGCAGCTATTTCCATTTCATCTGGGGTAAGTGGGGGTGTTTGTTCTCTTTTGATAGAAGTTGGTGAAACCGATTCTTTCTCTATAGAAATACGGAACAATAGTTTGTCCACAAAGTTTTCACAATAGTTACTAAGGCCACTGCTAGAACGACTTTGAGCAGCGATAGGAAGAATTTCCATTTCATCCGGGGTTAGAGGAAGAGTTTTATCCATATTATGATACGGTGTTTGTTCTCTTTTGATGGGAATTGGTGAAACCGATTTTACTTTTTCTACTCTAATACGAATCAACAGATCATCTACTAATTTGTCGCAAAAACCACTGATGTTACTGCTACGAGAGCTGCTGCTAGAGCTGCTGCTAGTGCTGCTACGAGAGCTGCTACGAGAGCTGCTGCAGAAGCTCTGGCTGCTAACAGGTGTGTAGATGGGTCCAGACTCTTCAACAGGGTCTTTTTCTGTTGGTACAAGTGAGACAGATTCCTTCTCTACAGAAATGTGAAGCAAAAGATCGTCCACAACTTTACCACAGTAGCTACTAAGGCCACTGCTAGAGCGACTGAAACTTTCTGCGATAGGATCAACTTCCATCTCATCTGGAGTAAGGGGAGGGGTTTCATCCTTCTCTAAGGAAATGCGAAGTAAAAGTTTGTCCACAAAGTTGTCACAATAAATACTGAGACCACTTTTAGAGCGACTGACAGGTATTGGAACATGTTCTAACTCATCCGGTTCTTTCTCTATAGAAATACGGAACAATAGTTTGTCCACAAAGTTTTCACAATAGTTACTAAGACCACTGCTAGAACGACTTTGAGCGGCGATAGCAGCTATTTCCATTTCATCTGGGGTTAGAGGAGGGGTCACATCTAAGATCGACTTCCGTTGGTTTTCCTGAAAATTCTATGAATATAGAAATCACAGATTTATAATTTCTAGTTACCCACATTGTAAGAGAACTCTGACGTATTATGTACGATCAATATACAGATAATATTATGTACAAGTATTTAGTATAATCTTCTATATATTACATGCTCGGTTGGCCTGGTGCAAGAGTACATTTTTATAGGCGAGTTAGCTCAGTAGTTTACGTGAAACACTTCATCATGCAGGACCATGTAGTTGAAGGAAATAATCAAAACAATTATCATGACCATTAAAATTAACATGCGGGCTATCATTAAGAATTAAATAGATCGAATTATCCATCCTTCGCATGCTGTGATTAGTAGGGTAGACAAATGTTGAAATTCTGCCCAGTTTTTAAGAGACTTGGAAGATGAAATTAAATCGGAAATATTTATCAAAATTCCGTTGTAAAACGACAAATCGAAGGCTACAAATTGCAACCGAATTCGAGATACAACTTCATGAGTTGAATGGACGTCCACGTTGACATTCTCTGGATTAAACAGAATCATCAAATTATCACACCAAAGTCTAAACCAAGTGGGACATGGGGGAGTTTTTAAACTATCCTAACAGTCATCAGAATGAGTGGTCGGCTGGCATTCGGCAGGTCTCCCCATCATTCATAATGAACATCGTCAGAGGAGAAGCATATTGTTGGTGATTTTTCGGTTTGATTGATCATCAATTATAGGCTGAAAGCAAAGACTTAGATCCAAAGTTTGCCCTTAAACCTTGAACTAAAAATAATCTTATTAAGCAGTTCCTCCTATTCTAGTCACTTTCTTTGTAATCTGTACCAATAAAAAGCTTAAATAGTAATACTATGAAGCTATAACTATGGAAAAAACTGTGCAAGAACTGTGCTTTTAAAAGGAAAGCTGTTCCATTTAGTTTGAATGCTTTGAGAAGGAGTGTTCCTCTTTTCATTTTTAATGCCTCTGAAAAGAGAGCGCCTCCTTCATGCTAGAATAACCTACACTGTCATCAGTCATGTCGCTTGCTCTTGACACGCTGCTGATGGTGACATCCTGCCAAAACAGCAGTTTCAAACAATGTACAGTGTATAGTGTACAATGTACAGTGTGCATCGAATGAGTATGAGTGGTTCTTTACGTCTTCAAGCGGAATTGAAACACATATTTCAAATACTTGATATATTTCCACATTACTTACATTCCTACTGGATATGCTCGGAAGAGGTGTTGGACTAGGTTCCTTCTCGAGGGTACTGAGATGAAACACTTCATCAACAAGCTTTACACACACACTTCGACCACTGCTTGTTGAGTAACTTCGTTCTATGGTGTAGGTTAGGTTTTTCTCATCCGCTATTGTGTAAGTTAGGTTTTTTTCTTCCACTAGTGTAGGCGATTTAGACTTTTGCTTCTCGAAAGAGAGGTGCAGTAAGATATCATCCACAAACTTTCCACAATAACTGTCCAGACTCCCGGTAGACTCACTTCTTTTCTGAAATTTTATGATAAAGAAACTGCTTTTTATGGGGGATAATACATGTGCGTTTTAGAAAGAATCTTTATATTCCAGGAAAAATTAATTGTTGATATTAGAAAGATTTGTTCATGCTTTTCATGTTTATATCAGTTTGAATTAAACGTTAGTTATAAAAGAGATATAAAACTCCGATCTGTTTTGCTGTTCCGAGAATAAAGAGCTAGTAACATGCATGAACGGGAGTGATACTTGATAAAAACACTCTCAAGTTTAGCTAAATTTTATACTTTATGTGTTAAACCACGTGTTCCAATCTTTATTCATTTATACCACAACAACGCTGATGTGGATAAATCGTGAATATCAAACGGCGATAATGAAATATTGAAATATATATATAATATTTAAGAAATTGATCGAACGGAAGAAAGTTGTAATATCTTAATAAAGTAGCTCATCTGCTATAACTTTTCAAGTTATCAACGAAATGCAAGAAAATTTATATTTGTTAAAAGATTAAAAATGTCATTTCAGCCTTGAGTTGTTCGTCTTAAATTATAAAGCGGTACTCACCACCCGAGTAAAGGCTCTCAAGCTCATTGGGCTCGGAGTGTCTGGAAGTGTTCCAGCAGCATTTCCTCCTCCTTAACATCCTCCTCCACCTCAGGAATAGGAGTAACTGCAGGAGGAGTCAACACCTCGGTGTACTTTCGAGATACGGGTCTGGTGGAGTCCTCTGCAGAGGCAACCCGCGTCTGTACAGTTGGCACAACGTATTGGTACTGGATGGGAGTGTAGTCCTCCTCTTCGGGCGAGGGAGGAGGGGTTGGAGTGGGGGTAGATGGTGGCGGTGTTGGGATCATACACTCTTCTTTTGGTAGCTGGGCAGGGAGAGAAGTTGGGTTATTTAGGAAAGTTTCTGCAACTGTCAACTAACAAAATAACAGCGGAAAATAGCTTTAAATTGAAGGGTATAAGTAAGGGCCCCCCCCCCCCCCCCCCCCCCCCAAGTAAAGAGAACAGAAAATATAAAATTGAATCTAGACCTGCTTCAGTTGTTCAACTAATGAAAGTTTCCTATCGATGATGTTTACACTCTGTGTCGTGTACTGCTTTTCTATCCGACACAGTTTCTTGTAACCCATCTGTGAGTTATACGGATCAAGACAAGAGGAGCTGGATATATTGTGTAGATAATTCATGGCTTATCACTGTCTTATGAATCGCTCACAATTGTCAAATAACTGAAACAATATAGTACCCAGACTGTTACATTGCTAGTTACCATAGTTACACTACTAGTTACTATAGTTACTACTTGTTTTCCTTGTACTCACCAAGTCAGTAAGACCCTGTAACTCCAGCTCAGAAAGCTGCTGGTTACTTGTAGGAAGGCACACTGTCCCCGATCTCCTTATCACCGAACCAAACTCCGTCCTCTCTGGACTTCCCAACAGATCTGTTATGGGGAGGACAGGTATCAATACCACTAGTGACTAGTGACTAGTGACTAGTGACTAGTGACTAGTGACTAGTGACTAGTGACTAGTGACTGTTTAACATCTCGTTAAACAGTTTATAGTGATCGAGTAAGCAACTTACCGAGAGGTCTAGGGTCAGTTTGAGAGCGCCTCAAGTATTTGTGTTTGTCACAGTTTCTCAACAAATACCCCTCTTCTTCATCCAACTCCTGGAAAAATTAGTTGTAGTGTAACTTAAATAGCATAATTAATTTACCTAATTTAACTGTTTAATTAAATAAAGATTAAAGATATAACCTATTTTCTCCATAGTCAAGAGAGAACTATAAGTTCAATAATCTTATAAACCAACATGAGAGAGGAACGTATTGTTTAATTAATAACATAGCTAGAACTGAACTCACGTAAGCGAGCTCCCCAGTCTCCGTGCGTACTAACTTTGTCTGAGGATACTAACATGTGCGTTTTAATGATTTTCTAAAAACTATCTTCAAAACTTAGCGTAGACAACAGTAGATCTATTGTAGACTAGGTCCGATTTAAGTTATCAGATATCAGGTGGATATCCTGTATTTTTAGCGGGCCCGAAAACAAAATATTTTTATCAGGATGCCTGAAACTCGCAACAAGGAGCTCGTGAAGCCAATACACATTACACATGTGGGGGGTGTAAAGTTATCATTGTAATTTATCAATTGAAAATATTATGTAAACTTCATCGTGGAGGCGAATATTTGTATGTATAGTTAAACCAATCGCATAGACTGGGTACGTGGACCTCATAGAAAAATAACCCTGCGTAAACTGAAACATGCCTATGTTTCATTTCTATTGATTACGAGTTACAATTGTTTGTTGAATCAATTTCCCGAAGAACTCCCAAAATGCACTTAACCACGTTGCTAGCTTTGACACTCGTACTTGTGTACTGTTCTGAGGCACAACAGATACAGTGTCTTCAACTGAAAGAACAGAGTCGTATGTACGGATATAGTCTGGCAGGTAGAAAAAAGAAGTCGGTATATTACCCCTTAGCTCATAGAGTGGGAACACAGACCTTAGAACGAGATCTTGGATTAATCAAGCTTTACAACGTAAAACTGGCGATCATCGAATTATTGGTCTCGGTTGCGCTACCGGAGAGTTCTGATGGAAAAGCTACTTTGAAATTGGAAGCGATGCACACGGATGGTGGTGGATGTGGGGACTTCACCGAGAACGACTGCGTCACTAAAGTTCCTGACAGCGAGTATCCGATGTGGGCGGTCTGCAAGGACTTCAAGTTCACTCTAACACCACCAGGACTAACCCTGGACATGAAGCTGAAAGGCAAGTTCCTGGTGGTATCCGTGAAGGGGGAGATAGTTGCAAAAGTAGCCCTCCCACCTGTTGCCTGCATGCCCGATGCTATCAGACACAAGGTCACAAGGATAGCTTACGAAGCTGGAACCTCTTCCGTCAAGCCCTTCATTTGCCAATAAGGACAGAGAAAATAAAAGAAGAGATGTCAATATTTTTGGTTAAATATAAACATTTATTTTGCTTGTTATTATCAACTGCATTCAGCTTCTAGTTTTACTTGTTATTGTGCCTAATCATACGATAATAAACTAAGGCCATATTTTTCAGTGAAAACAAAGCAAATTTATAATTCAAATCCTTTTTCGATTCTGTAATCTGAACTTATAATATTTCGACATAATTCTATTAAAGTAAACCATGGAAATTTAGAAAGACATCTTTTTATAAATATATGAACGCTCAATATCAGTGCTCGTTGACCTTTAAGGAGCAATGTAAAATTGAAAAATACAGACTAACAGTGGCATGGGGCCGGGATAATGGCATGGGGCCGGGACAGTACCGGGCACCCAACGGCATGGTGAGTTTGTGAGTTTCTGGAATGCCAAAAATGTAGATCTTATATCGAAATTTTGGGCACCAGCTACAATAATCAAGGATCCTAATATTCAGCGTGGGATTAATCAATCTCTGTTAAGCATGGTCTAAATCCTATTGGAGGATTACAACTTACTGTAGCGCCATGTTGGTCCGCAAGACTTTAACAAAATCCAATATATGTATCGATATTGATTATTAGCTAAGGTATTGAACATTTTTGCTCCTCTCTTGGTTCCTTTGTCTCCGATAGCAAGCTGACTTATCTTCATGAGACTAAGTACCTTCACAAAAAAGCTCTCGGTCAGTGTACACTCGACTTATTTGGAGAGGAAGGCTGGCGCCGCCCAAAAGTTACATTTGGTGCTACATTATCTATTTTTAGACCACTTTATTCTACATTGCACAACGTTACTCACTCACCTTAGCCGAAATTTAGGACAGAAAATAGCCACAATTTGGGCCGTCCAAACCTTCCTTTCTCCTTTTTATTTTCTGGCCCTAAGTTTCTAGCCCCTAACTGTTAACTCTCATAACAAAAACGGACCAATCATGGTCGTTCAAGCAGAAGAGTGGGCCCAAGATCATCACCGATGTGGACTTTGCAGATGATATAGCACTTATATCTGAGGACTTGGATAAGGCTAACGAGTTCCTGCTCCGAGTAGAATCAGCGGCAGCGAGCGTGGGACTTCACATAAACGAAGGCAAGACCAAGGTTATGACATTGAATATGGAAGATCGATCTAGCGACCTCCAAAGTCGATCTGGGGAAGCCATAGAAAATGTGGATGATTTCATCTACTTAGGCTCCTGGATTGAGAGCACAGATAGGGAGATAAGGGTTAGAAAGGGAAAAGCATGGGGTGCCCTACATAGACTGAAGGATATCTGGAAATCCAAACTCTCAAAGAGCCTAAAGATTAGATCGTTCATAGCGGCTTGTGAGTCAGTACTGCTCTACGGATCAGAAACCTGGACACTGACGAAGGCTCAAGAAACAAGTTTGGACGGGATTTTCTAAAAACTATCTTTAAAACTTAGCGTAGACAACAGTAGATCTATTGTAGACTAGGTCCGATTTAAGTAATCAGATATCAGGTGGATATCCTGTATTTTTAGCGGGCCCGAAAACAAAATATTTTTATCAGGATGCCTGAAACTCGCAACAAGGAGCTCGTGAAGCCAATACACATTACACATGTGGGGGGTGTAAAGTTATCATTATGCCCCAGCATATGTAATTTATCAATTGACAAAATGTAAACTTCATCGTGGAGGCGAATATTTGTATGTATAGTTAAACCAATCGCATAGTCTGGGTACGTGGACCTCATAGAAAAATAACCCTGCGTAAACTGAAACATGCCTATGTTTCATTTCTATTGATTACGAGTTACAATCGTTTGTTGAATCAATTTCCCGAAGAACTCCTAAAATGCATTTAACCACGTTGCTAGCTTTGACACTCGTACTTGTGTACTGTTCTGAGGCACGACAGATACAGTGCCTTCGACTGAAAGAACAAAGTCGTATGTACGGATATAAGCTGTCACGTAGAAGACAGAAGTCGGTATTTTACCCCTTCGCTCAGAGAGTGGGAACACAGACCTTGGAACGAGATCTTGGATTAATCAAGCTTTACAACCGAAAACTGGCCATCATCGAATTGCAGGTCTCGGTTGCGCTACCGGAGAGTTCTGATGGAAAAGCTACTTTGAAATTGGAAGCGATGCACACGGATGGTGGATGTGGGGACTTCACCGAGAACGACTGCGTCACTGATGTTCCTGACAGCGAGTATCCGATGTGGGCGATCTGCAAGGACTTCAAGTTCACTCTAACACCACCCGGACTAACCCTGGACATGAAGCTGAAAGGCAAGTTCCTGGTGGTATCCGTGAAGGGTGAGATAGTTGCAAAGGTAGCCCTTCCACCTGTTGTCTGCATGCCCGATGCCTTAATCAGACACAGAGTCACAAGGATAGCTTACGAAGCTGGAACCTCTCCCTTGAAGCCCTTCATCTGCCAATAAGGACAGAGAAAATAAAAGAAGAGATGTCAATATTTTTGGTTAAATATAAACATTTATTTTTCTTGTTATTATCAACTGCATTCAGCTTTTAGTTTTACTTGTTATTGTGCCTAATCATACGATAATAAACTAAGGCCATATTTTTCGGTGAAAACAAAGCAAATTTATAATTCAAATATTTTTTCGATTCTGTAATCTGAACTTATAATATTTCGACATAATTCTATTAAAGTTAACCATGGAAATTTAGAAAGACATCTTTTTATAAATATATGAACGCTCAATATCAGTGCTCGTTGACTTTTTAGGAAAATGTAAAATTGAAAAATACAGACAAACAGTGGCATGGGGCCGGGATAGTGGCATGGGGCCGGGACAGTACCGGGCACCCAACGGCATGGGGAGTTTGTAAGTTTCTGTAATGCCAAAAATGTAGATCTTATATCGAAATTTTGGGCACCAGCTACAGTAATCAAGGATCCTAATATTAAGCGTGGGATTAATCAATCTCTGTTAAGCATGGTCTAAATCCTATTGGAGGATTACAACTTACTGTAGCGCCATGTTGGTCCGCAAGACTTTAACAATATCGAATATATGTATCGATATTGAATATTAGCTAAGGTATTGAACATTCTTGCTCCTCTCTTGCTTCCTTTGTCTCCGATAGCAAGCTGACTTATCTTCATGAGACTAAGTACCTTCACAAAAAGGCTCTCGGTCAGTGTACACTCGACCTATTTGGAGAGAAAGGCTGGCGCCGCCCAGAAGTTACATTTGGTGCTACATTATCGAAGGCAAGACCAAGGTTATGACATTGAATATGGAGGATCGATCTAGCGACCTCCAAAGTCGATCTGGGAAAGCCATAGAAAATGTGGATGATTTCATCTACTTAGGCTCCTGGATTGAGAGCACAGATAGGGAGATAAGGGTTAGAAAGGGAAAAGCATGGGGTGCCCTACATAGACTGAAGGATATCTGGAAATCAAAACTCTCAAAGAGCCTAAAGATTAGATTGTTCATAGCGGCTTTTGAGTCAGTACTGCTCTACGGATCAGAAACCGGGACACTGACAAAGGCTCAAGAAAAAAGTTCGGACGGGACATACACAAAGATGCTGCGTATGGTGCCATGGGTATCTCATGGAAGGACAAGGTCAGCAATATAACTTTGTAAGGTAGTCTACCAAGGCTGTCAAACAAGTTACGAAGCAGGAGACTAAAAATGGCGGGACACTGCATCAGACATCCTGCGCTACTTACCACTGATTTAGTCTTATGGGATTTGGGAACCTATGCAATTGCATGGTAGAGCACAGCAAGGCCGACCAAGACAAAGCTACTTGTCTATGTTACTGAAGGAAGCTGGGACAAACTCTAAAGAGGAACTGCGAACCCTGATGCAGGACAGGGATATATGGAGGGGGTTATCTGACGTAGATCGGACTTAGTTCCGACATAGTAGTAGTAGTAGTAGTAGTAGTCATGGTCGTCACCGTGTCGAGTGCAAAAAATAATGATTCAACTCACCTCGTCAATGAACTGCTTCGCCAGAGGAGGTACGATTTCCATGGGGAACTGAGGGAGATTATTTACTGAACTGGTAGCAACATAATGGAATCTATTGAAATATTGTGATTCGTAATAGCATTAGCAGGTCCTGTCTCACCCTTTTGAATAACTGGAATGAAAAATGAATGACGGGAGAAAATTACCGAGAACTCGATTTCTTTAGCTTTAGCCCGGTGTTGCTCTCTATAAGCGCTCATCATGTTAGAAGCTATCTCATCCCTCACCGACCTTCTGTTAACATTTCCTCTCAGTTTTTTAATGTTTTCATTGGGTTCCGTTTTGTTTGGAACGTAGCTAATGACTTCTGCTCTTGATGGAGCCTGTTTTCTTGATGGTTTTCTGTTGAACTGAAAAAGACGAAATCAGATCACTGAATAGTAAGTTATGACATAAAATCTAAAATTTGAATCCGTAAATTCAATTAAAGTAATCCAGATACGGACCACTAGTAAAAACAGATACCAGTAAAAAGCAAACAACTTAAAGAGGAGTTGTCAGTCACTTACCATTTTCAATTTGAAACTTTGAGTGACTGATCTACGTTTCCTCGTCTTTTCCCTTGCACTTATCTGGAGTACAATATTGTAATTTATTTTATTTAACAGCAACTGTATTACTATATATCCTTCAACAATTTTGCGTAAGTATCAGCAAGAAAAGTAGAAAGGTACAAAAGTAGGAAGGCTCTTACCGAATGGATGCGACTGATAACTTCATCTTGCTGCATGTCCAGCATCAGCTCTGCATCCTGAGTCTAGATTGTCAACCGTCAGAATCTACTAATTAATAACCTAGTAACCACTAGTAACCACTAGTAACCACTAGTAACCACTAGTAACCACTAGTAACTACTAGTAACTACTAGTAACCACTTGTAACCACTACTTCCCTGATAAGTGCTAGTAGTAGTACTATGGATGTATGAATTATGTTATAATCACACATGTGCGTCAATTCCAAAAAATAATTTATAAATTTAACAATCGTCAACTTCTGGATTTCAACTGATGAGGCTACTTACATGTTATACAGGGATTATCGAATAGCGAGCTGATTAATTTTCACAGAACCAACCTGTTTGGGTGTCCACGTTTTCTTCAGAAGTGGGGCATTCTCCAGAAGAGGGGCATTCTGCGCAACGATAGCGGGACTGGGAAGCATATTGTATTCCTGTGAGCAGACACAATTGGGAATGTTTAAAAAGTTGTTGAAATTAAAATTGAGATTTAATCTGAGGATCTGACACTTAAGAATAATAATCAACTTTTGTCCCATTTTAAATTAATAAAGCTTATAATATATGAACTAGATATATTATGTAAATTCTATCACCCCCTTTTACTATACCCCCTCCAACTATTTACGCGCTATTTACTTTTCCTGAGAATCTCAGAACTAAATTTTCTAAAATGATTTCGGGGTTTTTCGATAACGTAAGGATCAGCCTTAAAACTTGCTGCATTTATATTTGCTCGATTCTAAATTTTATTCCTGAAGGTCAATTTCTTTAATAGTTTCTGGCAACATAACAACGCAACTTGTTGCTATTGTTTCTCAGCAGTCAGCTGTCTGCTATTTTCTCTCAGCTGACTGCTGAATCCAAATCCCGAAAACATTTATGACTAATGCTTTACTTTAAGTCAGTTTAAATATGGAGGATTTTTTATCTAAAGGCGATGATAGTAGCTTTTCACTTTTAGTAAAGTTATCTCCTAGTGCTATGTGTGATGAAACATTGAATCTACAATGACGGACCTCTTCATAAGCAGGTGGACCGGGGGAGGCTGACTCGATATTGGCATTCCAGTTCATTACTTTAGACTCGGGGCTCTGTATTCGGTGAGACACTTTGGCTGGAGCCTGTAATCAGAAATCATTCAAGTTGCTTAAGCGTGACCAACGTATAATGAGCGAATCAGTAAGCAATTATAAAAACTAAAAGGCGGTCAAGTCTGACTACGTAAATCAGCTTCTTACAATTCACCATACATTTTAAATGCACAGAGCGTATATTATATTATATATGTTAATATTATGATGATTACTCCCCTGACAATGAAATAAAACAAAATGCGTCATTTATCGAGCAGATACGATAATTATTGTTAGCATTGGTCGAAGAGACACTAAACTATAGCTCGCACGTTCATATATTGAGCACGTACAAAACTAAACCGTTTCATAGACTATGAAACATATGTGATCAAAGAAATGACCCATTCTCTCCAGAGGCCATCCTTTTTTAATACTCATTTTAATTTGTTGTAATTACTACTAATTACTAATTACTACTTCCCTAGCACCTAGGTTAGAGATTTCCGGTTAAACCTGATTTATCTATGTTGTTAGAAACCCCTGTAATTCTGCGCCACAAATCACAACAGTAACCAAAGTTCCTGTCTTGTTCTACTTGTTGTATCTTGTAGCCCACAATATGTTGATTACCCCCCCCCCCCCCCCCCCCCCTCCCCAGCCCCCCTTCCTTCCCACTGTTAATTGACCCAGGAACTTCCTCAAAACAGGATAATGTAGCGCCCTGTCAACACCCTTATTTGTAGATTCTTAGGTAAGTTTACACTAATACTATGCCACAGCTGGCCGTTAAATTTCGCTATCCTAGTGTATCGCTATTTCGAGCTTCTAGCTGCCAGCTTTTCAGAACTATTTTAAAATACAACCCACAGACCTGAGATTCTATTTCTATGTTTGCACTCCAGTCCAGACGAGAAGGTACAGGCGACTTGTATAAAGGTGACTGGTAGCCGAACATGGGTAAAATAATATCAGGTTTACTGCCGATCACCTGAGGATGATAGTTTATATTTAATTTTAAATAGATTACTGAAGTTTTAGTTTATGGATAATCCTCCCTCTTATAGCAAAAACACAATAAGCATGTACTAAGTCAGAGAATGTGAGAATCGGACATAAAATGCGAAAAAAGGTGAGCGATTCAGAACAATCAGTTTTCTCTGGCCCACCCTGTCATAAAGAAGTATTGTTTAATAATGCGGAATTCCCGACCTCATATCGTGGAGAGGCATTGTCAATATTGGCGCTCCAGTCAAGTTTAGCAGCACGATCCTTTCCACTCTTCCTGCTCATATCCTGCCTCCCGGGGTTGTGAAGTTGGACCTGAGTTGATCCTTGACGGTCTGATGCAGAAGGTTCATGAGTCTCATATCTTCTGTAGTCAGGTAATAGTAAATCCGGCTTCTCACTTCCAATCTGTGGTGTAATGATCATTACTTCACCTAAATCCTAATAGTCGTCCTATTCTTTTGAGTCCTCAATAAAGTTTGCATCTGTAATTAAGTTCAAAAACAGCATCCTTAGTTTTCCACTTACGAATACGATGTGATTTTCTTCTGCTAAAGTTTGACCTGCCGTCTCTGGGGATGGACTTCTGCTCCCTTGGTAGAACGGTAAAATCACTTCCGGTTTCGGGCCAAGCGCTGATCTCTAAAAACAAAATTTAACATTGGCAACTTTTAAATGCGCATATCTGAACTAAAATAAAGCGTTTGTGTCTACACGAGCACACTGTAAGTGTAAATTAGTTTATTGTATTGGCCATAATTTAGTCGGCTAAAATGGTGGCTGGCTAAACATTATTTGCTAAAGATGAGCGCAAACGGCATAGCATGCCGAAATTATTTGCAAACTTTTATTAATAAATAGCAGCAGACAACGCGGTGATTCATCTTGGATTCTTGAATCATTCCGACCAAACATCCACAAAGAAAAATAATTATTGAAAAGGAATATTCTATGTAACATGTATATAAAAATTCTTTCAAGGATTGACTTTTTGAATAATATTTGATTCAGTTGTCTTTTACAGAAATGAAATACCTTCCACCGCGTTTTAGAGTCATTCAATAATGTAACAATAACAGAGACGTAATTTGATAAGAAATAATTAAGTTAATCAGTACAAACCTCGAGTGTTCCCTGCTGCGCCAACATACAACTAGTTCTTTCTCAACTTCAGATTCTTTTTAATCAATTAGACCTTCAAATTTATGATTTTTTAAATTTCAAAATTCAATTAGTTATTATATATAAATCAAGCGTTACATTTCAGCCATGCAACATTACAATGACATATTCTGATATACTAATTGATAAAAGCAAGGTACTGCAATATAAGTTGATTAATGTGTGGCCGAATGACAACTAACTAAACAAGAAAAATAAACTTGATTATATAATAATTAATTCGGCTGAACCAACACATATAATAGCAAGAGCCACATTAACGTTGGGGCCGTCTTAATAATAATATACTTAGGAATCAAAAGCGACTGAAATAGTTTCCGACATTAAAATATCTCAAAATCTGTACGTGAAAAAAAATACTGAACTATGATAATTGCTTGAAGAAGCAGACAAGCAAATCTGAAATTTCTAACAATTTCTCGCAAAAAAACAGTAAGCAGAGAGCGCATCATGCAATAACAAAAATAACCTCAAGCAAAGTTTACCAAAACTTTAGCAATCGTAAATAAAGCCAAGTCCAAGATGAGCGAAAAACATGAATCGTGGTAGTCACTTTGCACTTGAATCTCAGCACTTTGCACTTGAATCTCGCAACTCGAAAAGTTTGGGATAAATTATTTAATTATAGGCCATATTTGGTTCCGCGAACAGTGCATGCTGCATCAAATGAAAATATATTTAAGCAACAGAAAACACAACAAGTACAATTCGTTGGAAACAGTTCATCATGTACAAACACGGTACAGTTTTTAGAGTGTAACTGTGAAGAAATAAAGAGGAAAAAAGAGGACACAAAATAAAGTTACAGTTTTATTATTTAATAAAGAGATGGCAAATTTCCGATATAACAGTAGTTCCCTAGATAACAAGCAACGCAATCCAGCGAGCTCTAGATAGTATTAGCACTGAACGTTAAAACTATCAGTCACGGGACCGTTAGCGCCCAATCAAAGTTAGCAAGTTATCATTGACACTACCGCTCTGTTAAACTAAGTATTGTCGCTTGAAGAACTAATTGTGCGAGTTATTCGGTCAAAGATTTATAAATTTATAAATTATTTCTAACCTCTGATTTTGTACGTCATCCTTTGTGTTGTGAGAACGTGCGTGTTGCTCTTTAACTTTTGTAGACGTCAGTGGCAGCTACACGTCATCTTCAGGCTCATTGTTCAGTTATCGTTAACCTGGTTTATTCACTAATAACTATGTGAATGTCAAGCAAGTGTGTGTGTGGTGAGAACGGTCTCACAAACGGCTAATAATGTGTGACTTATAAATAAGTAACCATTTTAGTATCGTCTAAAAAATTATTATCAGAATTAAAATTTATGAAGGAGTAAGTTTTCATAATCATTTGATGCGATTTTGTAAATTCATTTATTGCTTGTTTAATTTGTATTCGTGCTTTTTAATCTATTGTTATTTGTATCTGAGATTCTGTGATAACATTAACATTTATTTTGTTGATTCAATATTTAGGTATATAATGTTGTTATTGTATAATTTATTGTAAATGTTTAATGTATTGTATTATTATAGGGTTGCTGCTCCTAGGAGGGCTTTATGCTTATCTCCTTTTATCAATAAAAAGGACGGAGAAAAGATTGTCTCCCACCATAATCAGCACCATAGGGAGACTCGATGCCACAATAGGCAAGTTTGTTCAATGTCCATGTCCTGGTACTAGGCCTCCAGGACATGGTGGACCAACTAAAAGACAAAGCCCAGGTCAAGATTTAGGCGAGACTGCGAATTACCCCCAATATCTCCCAATCGGCACATGGTCCAGGAAATTTCCTATAAAATGAAAGCCGCTTGGCTTTGCTACGAACACTTTTAAAAACGTCTTTCATCAATCACCAATATGCTGTATAATACTTTATTTATTCTAGGAGGAGTAGCCTTAGTGGCAGTGCTACTGCCCCTAGGAGGGCTTTATGCCAACATTGTAAGATTGATCAAGACTGTCCAGAAGGACATAAAAGAACTAGAAAGAACTATAAGCAAGTTCAGTCATGTCATGGAGCTGAGGCTCGCGGACCAAATAAAAACCCAAAAAGAAGCCCAAATAGAAGAAGAAAAGGAAATGGAACCTGCATCGAATGACCATGTGTCGATTGACATGGGGGACAACATGATCCCCGATCTCCCAATCGGCACATGGTCAAGCCCTCCACTAACACCTAGTAGTGGGGCCAGCTCAACTCAGAGCAACACAGATAGCATCGTAACTGTGATCCGAGCCCACAGATGGCATTATCACAGTTATAAGAGCCCCAGGAGTCCCCACGATCTGTGGTGAGTCTAGAGGGCTTCCGGGGCCTCGCTCTGGAAGATGAGGACAATTCGGCAGCAAACAGACATCCCCTAACCCTGGAGATCTGGAATCCCTCACAATTTCTCCAACTACATCGTCTCTGGTGACAACGAACCGACCATACCATTATACCATTCTTTATACTCTTTAAACTTAGTATCTATACACTTTATGTTTTGATTTCTAGTCCTTAGAATTAGGGTACTCTAACTGACTGATTTGAATGTCCTGCACAGCAGATCGAAGCATCTTTAAATTATTTACTATTATTACTGTATTGCTGTGTAAATTTGATTCTAATTCCAATTCTAATTCCAATTCTAATTCCAATTCTAATTCCAATTCTAATTCCAATTCTAATTCCAATTCTGATTCCAATTCTAATGATATGATGCTCTAAGACTCTAATAGTAATACTTTAAGACTCTGAATGGTCCGAAATATTCAAATTGATCACAAAGTCATCAACATCCAATGTTTCGATAAAAATTAGTCAATAAGTATAACTCAATAATAAATGAGGCCTGAAACTGGAAACGTTTCCAAAAATGTAAAAATTAATGAGTCTAAATTTCGTATACGTTGTATGACCCGCTGCGCACAATACAATAAATTTCATAACTGTAACAAAGCTGTAACATATTCTTCAACTCAGCGCAATTAGTTCAATTGTTAAACTTAATGTATGTAATTGTAAGACTAAGATAATTAGATGTATTATATAATAATCATTACTGAAATATCTCACAAAATCTTCATGCTGCTTAATTATAATATAATATATAATATAAGTGTCCATAGAGATTGGGCTTCGACGATGAAGTTCTGGCGCGGTAGCTAAGACTAAGAGATCAAAATATGTTAGTTGGCAGCTTTCCGCTTCCATTCTGCTCTGAACTCTGCTTTCAGTTTCTCAACTACTAAGTTGTCATATCAGAGTCGTGGGAATGAGATTTGGGTCGACTGGCCAAGGACTGATCGCCATGGTCAAGAGACAGGCCACAGGGTATATAATAATACAGCAGGACAATTGCAATCTGAACACTGAATTATTCGTTCTGTACTTCTGGCATTTGATTGACGATGTCAGCATTTCCAGATCGTTGCGATGCGAAGCCAGAATGCTAGTTTGCGCGGCGAAGTTTTCCAATTCTGGCATCTCCAGGTAAAAGAAGTTGGGTATTTCGATATTATCTCCGGGAGTATAGAAATCCGTTTGTGTCCAGAAGTAGTTGAGTTCCTCTCTGCTCTCTCATTTTACTTTAATTCCTCATCTCCTAGAGATGGAGTGAGGTGCATGTGTCATTTCACTGCGGGGTCCTTCAATTTGGCTCGAAATAACTGGAGAAGGAGTCCATGTCAAAAGGGATGAGAGGTTTCAGGCGTCACCAAGTTTGCTCCACGTCGTGTTCAAGGACGAAGGCTGTGGCTCCCATCATGAAGACAAATTCGCGAACAGAATTGGCACCGCATCCAGTCCTGAAGAGGGCACACTTCCAGTGGCAGTGGAAGGAGTCGTTGAGGATAAGGTTCTCGGGTCCTCATCTTCCAGAGCGAGGCCCCAGAAGCCCTCTAGACTCACCACAGATCGTGGTGAGCTGGGGACTCCTGGGGCTCTTATGACCGTGATAATGCTGTCATTATTGCTCTGAGCTGAGCTGTCGGTTGTGCCACTCCTAGGTGTTAGTGGAGGGCTTGACCATGTGCCGATCGGGAGATCGGGGATCATGTTGTCCCCCATGTCAATCGACACATGGTCATTCGGTCCAGGTTCCATTTCCTTTTCTTCTTCGGTTTGGGGTTCTTCTTTTTGGGTTTTTATTTGGTCTTTTATGTCCTTTATGTCTTTTTGGATAGTCTTGATCAATGTTCGAATGTTGGCATAGAGCCCTCCTAGGAGCAGTAGCACTAAGGCTACTGCTCCTAGGATAAACAAAGTATCGTCCAGCATATTTATTGGTGATTTCTGATGAAGGAGGTTTTTAAAAGTGTTTGTAGTAAAGCCAAGAGACTTTCCTTTTATAGGAAATTTCCTGGATCTCTGCCAGTTTAAAATGCACGTGCAAATTGGAGATTTGATTATCAAGAGAAATGTGGCTTCTTGCCAAAAAATTGCACGCGTAGTTCCAAAGTTGCTGCATGATATACCTTATCGGACCTTATTTGGACGGACATTACTTGAACGCTGGAGGCCCTAGCGTTCATCGTAATGTCCGTTCAAATAAAGTCCGTTCAATTAATGTCCGTCCAAGTTAAAGTCCGTTGAAATTTTTTCAAAAATTTTTCCATTTCGAACTTTTTGTCCAGAATATGACAACTTTGAGAACTTGATTGTGCCGTAAGTTAACGATGGAAAGGTTCTCCTTGGTCTGCCAGAGGCACAGAAAATTCTACTAGTATATGATGTTTTCAAGGGTTACTTGGCGGAAAAAAGTCAACGAAATTATGGCACTCAACAATATAGTTCATATGAACTAGTCCCCGCCAACATGACAAACTTGTTTCAGCCTCTAGATATTACGGTAAAATCGTGTTTCCAAGGACATTGTCCGACGTTGTTACATTATAGTTCATATTACTCAGGGGAGGTAATGGAACAGTGCTAGGAAAGCTCCACGTGATGTTAAGGTTAACCTTAAGTTGTCTAAGATAAAACCACTTCACGCCGAATGGTTTGTAAAAGTTAACACTGAAATGTGAAATGC